ACATGTGTCAAAGTGTGTCTGAGGCTCATGTGGGACTGCTAGGAAAATTTTCTGCTCTGATTTCTCCTCTGGTCTACACTGGTGAACAACAAAGCTGTGTGCTTCAATGGAAAACTGAAGAGTGTCCTGGACAGGATCTTTCATTCACAGTGTGCACATTTGTTCATGCCTGTGCCTTGACCTGGAAATATCAACTTCACATGGTTTTAATCCAGCATTGCTCACAGTCACAAGTGAAACTGTAGCCAGGCTGAATATTTTAACACTGCCTTTGCTGCATATGCAGAAATATGAGTTTGTCTGTCCAGAAACTGTTCAGGCATCAACTTTCAACTGGATCTTCTCATCGTATTTCCAAATTTTAAACTTCCAAGCAGAAAGATCATAATCGTACATATGGAACACTAGGTAATCAAATTACAGGCATTTAAACTTCACACTGAAATACAAAGGGTATCATTTATACAGAAAAAAACTTTTACCACGCCTTTTCATAGAGAATTTAGGTTCTTGGCAAAACTTGCATTGAAACCATGGGGACTATTTATGAAGAGACTGCAACATCATTCTTATTGTCATTTTGGTACCAGACAGCATCCTCCTACGCTTTGAAGCTGATCACATTTTCTTATGATGAAAAAACTTCACAAGGTTTCCCCGCCTGACAGAATGTCTGGGTTGATAGCTGTGGTTGAAAACACAACCATGTCTTACAGTACCTTTTAAACTGCCTTTGTAAAACGTTGACAAATAGCTTCAAACAGTTTTCTAGGCTTAAATATTTCTGAAGTGCAACAAAACAGTGTGAGTCAGAGGAGAGGAGGAAGCCAGTTGGGAAGTTCCAGGCAAAAATATTTACTGCTGTTAGTGATGGCATCTATTCAACCTTCAAATAAGCAAAATATTTTTTATTTTGCAACAGCTGCACTACTAACACACAGCATATTATTTTACATTTTTGAGTATCAGCAACATGAGAACTTGCTGTGATTTCCACAGAGCAGTTAAAGCACTCCCAAGCTGCATATACAGTGCCAAGAAGCCTGGGTGGTCCTCAGTCCATGGGGCTATCTCCTGGACTGGTTTGTCTCCAAAGCAGACCAAATCAGATGTGTTCCCTGTGGGAGGTCTTCAGGCATCTGGCAACACTACTCAGCCTTCATCATGTTGTACTTCTCAGTGATGTCCATGGAGTTTTTCCTGAGTCAGAGTGAACAAATCTGCTTGAAAAAACCCTGTCAGCACAAAGTAGCTGATGTGATTGTGGCGTGGATGTACTGTGTATTGTGGCAGAAATGAGGCAAACTGAAGTTGACATGGGTTACTGCCTGGCTGGTGTTTATTTTTCCAGTCAAGAAATGAGACATTAAAAAGGGAAGAGAAATATCTGACCTACACACAGACCTGAGGACACCTGATTTCCAACCTTGGTCCTGACAGTGAGGTCACTCCCTGTATCCTTCACTCTACAGCAACACATCCCATCTGGCTCTTAAATGTACTACACCAAGATTTCTAAGAATCTGCTGGACTTCTAGATGAAGGCACAACTGTCATCACTTTCAGCAGTGACTATGATGAATATCCAATTAAAATGTATTTCTGCTATTTCCCATACTGGGAGGATTTGAAGACAGCATCAACAAAACAGTCAGATTTGTGATTTGTAAAAAATTCTAAAATATATCTCAAATATACATTTCATCTTGCTCTAGATACAAATTCTACAAAGATTTTTGAACTAGTGGACTACATACAACATGTAAATGTAAACATATATGTAGCTTCCACAGCAGCAGGTGTAACAGGAAAATTAATTTAAGGTGACAACATTACTCATAGAAAATATTTGGGCTACTGCTCTCTCATCTTGAAATTATTAAATTCTTATTTGCCACAATAAACCAAATATTGTTATAGTTCTGAATATCTGTGTTGTATAAAGAACCACAACTTACTGTGGATTTCAGTAATAGCTTTTTTTTTAAGATGCAGAGAGATGTGGAGCTTTAGCTGATGTTGTGTTGAGGAATACAGAAAGCCATGTTTTGATTTCATGCTAAATAATTCAACAGATTTGTCTCAGTGTAACAATCGTTTTAATGTGGATGCCACTGAAGTGCAGATGAAAGTCACACTGAAGTTTCACTGTGAGACTGCAAAAAACCAAAAGTAACTAGGCAACTTTTGCTATGAATCCTCACAAGAGAATTTTTTTTTTTTGTCTTCCAAATTTGTCACTATTTGGCTTATAAAGATGTCCATGTTGTCCTGAAACATTTCATAAATGCTGAATTAAGGCCAACATTTTTGTTGATTTACCATAGGCAGGATCAGACCTTGCATCATCAGTGTAACTGGTCAGGCTTTGAATTTGGAACGCTTAGCAGTGAATGCTTAGCAGCAATGGAAATGAAAGCATGACTAGATAAAGACTCCTCCAAAGTCAAGTATCAATGCTGAAAGCTCCTGAAGGAAAAGAAGAATCATCATTGCAGTTGATATGATCAAATTTATTGAATGAATCAGAATTCCACAGAAGACAATTGAGCTCTCCCACTCACTTTCACAAGTCTCAGTTTGAATAAACAAAATAACTAACAGTTGTGGGTTTGGACCATTTTGAATCCTTGGTTAATGCAGACTAGGGATTGTGTTCATTTTGTGTAGTGTTCACTGTATCAGGTGGGCTCTGGACTGAATCTACGTACATTTTAGGGCTTCACAGGATTTTACTCTTCCTCAGCATTGTATTTCTGTATTTTTTTGCAGTTTTCTACTGTAGCAAAGCAACTTTCCCATTTCCCATTTTGCGACTAAAACCAGTTATTTATCAAGACAGGTGCTAGTGCCGGCAATGATTCACCTCATCCACTAGGGTGGACTAGTGATCCCTGGAGATCCATTCCAGCCAGCTCTGGATGTATGTAGGAGCAGGCAGCCAGATACCAACTCCAACCACAGCTGTTGGCATTTCTTATATTTTATAAGTGTTTGCAGCATGGACTATGGAAGTACTATGTACACAGTATGGAATGACTACGTACTATAGGTTTATGGGTGTACATGACTTAGTTTCTAACCTAACACCACCCTCACACACAACTGTGCTTTATTTTTTTTGAGACCTGAATCACTTCTCTTACTTCTTGACTTACTAGCGTTAAGTCACAGGGCCTCGATGTACGTGTCATGTAAAATCTGAAATCCAAACAGTCAGTGAGAATTTCTGCCTGCTGTAACTCTGCTGCCTTCACTAGATATATATGAGAGGACCTTGGATCAACAGCTGTTGGATATGAGCTTGTGCAGTGTCAGAGCTGGAAACTTGCTCAGTTCTGTACAAACACTGTCTGAACTGTGTGAGTCAACAACCTCACAGTTCACTGAAGCAAATTCCTTAGGAAAAAGGTTTTGAGCATATGTAATGCACTTTTTCACAGCAACTCTGTGAAGCAGAGTTGGAAAAAGTAATTTTCTGGTAATCATGAGGTTTTGCAGTTTTTAAATAACTGTGAGATTTTAAAGTAAGCATGTATGATTCTAAGAAAGCTGTAAAGGAGCAAAAAGAACCCTCTTTTAAATTTTATTTTCTTTTAGTTTTCCAAATTGTTACTCCTTCTAGAGGTGCTTGAAACTGATTGAATTTGACAGGAATTCAAAGCTATTGTTGCAGCTGTCACTTCTTCTTTTTTTTTTTTTTCTATTTTTTTTCCTAAATAAGTGACTTATTCAAACTTGCTCTCAGCCTCACTCTCTAAATTACATCTGTTTTAAAAAAAATCCACTCCATCTTCCAAAGTACTTCTCTGTGAGGCCACAGGATACAGCACGTAAATCATAGCTCAGCTGGTGTGGGAAAACCCTTTTGCCAGAGTTTAAAACCTCTGGCTGTTTCAGGTGTGGACTGGAAGAATGCACATGGGAAGCAGCAGAGCACTCCTGCTTTCTCATGGGCAGTAGGACAGGGGAGACCTGAGACTATGCCTGCCTTTGTGATGTAAATGGCAGGGTTCTCCTCCATCTGCGGCCCTCTGCCCTGTGCTCCAGCTGTGCTCATGTATGGGATTTGTGTGGCAAGGGTCTGGTACTGATGGGGTGACAAGGGTGGCTTCTCTGAGATGGCACTAGAAACTTCCCCCCATGTCTAGTGGAGCCAATTCCAGCCAGCTCCAAGACAGACCCACTGCTGGCCACAGCTGACCCCATCAGTGATAGCAAGAGCTCCTTTGGGATAATGTATCTAAGGAAAAAAGTTATTGCACAGAAGCAATCACGTCCAGAGAAGAGAGGAATGAAAATATGTGAGAGCGGACACCAAAGTCAGTGCAGAAGAAAGGGATGGAGGTGCTGCAGGGGCTGGAGCAGAGATTCCCCTGAAGCCTGTGCTCCATGGTGAAGCAGGATGATCCTGGATGGAGGACCTCATGCCAGAGCAGGTGGATGCCCATAGAACGCTCTGCTGCTGAGCAGGTTCCTGGCGGGATCTATGCCCCCGTGGAGAAAGGAAACCCACGTTAGGGCAGGTTTGCTGTCAGGACTTGTGACCCCACTGGGGAGCCACACTGGAGCAGCCTTTCCTGAAGGACTGCATCCTGTGGAAGGGACCCACACTGAAGCAGTTCATGAAGAACTGCAGGTCCTGAGAAGGACTCACGTTGGAGAAGTTCAAAGGACTGTCTGCCGTGGGAGGACCCACACTGGAGCAGGGGAAGGGTGTGAGGAGTCCTTCCCCTGAGGAGGAAGGAGCAGCAGAGACACAATGTGATGAACTGACCGCAGCCCCCATTCCCCATCGTTCTGCACCGCTGTTGGGGAGGAGGCAGAGAAATTGCGAGTGGCACAGAGCCCAGGAAGAAGGGAAGGCTGGGGAGAAGGTGTCTTTCAGTTTTGGTTTAATTTTCCATTACCCCAGTCTGATTTGATTGGCAAGAAATTAAGTTAATTTCCCCAAATCCGTTTTGTTTTGTAACTGCTGAGTGAACTCTCCCTGTCCTTAGGTGGACCAGAGAGCCTTTCCTTGTATTTTCTCTCCTCTGTCTTGCTGATGAAGGCCGAGACAAAGCGGCTGTGATTACCAGCCAAGCCGGGGTCAACCCACCAGAGGTGCCCCGCTGCGGGTACCCTGAGACCCCTGGTGAGCGTTCCTTCAACCTTTCCCGTGCGCGCTGGGGCCTGGGCTCTCACCGGGGATCCCTCCCGAGTGCGGAGACACAGATTCCCTCTGCGGCTCCGAGTCGGGCATGAGCAACCGAGCGGCCCGGGGCCGCAGCTCCCCGGCTGCCGCGGCGGCGCTGGCTGCGCGGGCGGCGCTGGGCGCTGGCGGCCGGGCTGCTGGGCGCCGCCGCCGCCGCGCTCGCCCTGTACTCGGCGCTGCCCGAGCCGGCCCGGACGGACGACGAGCCGGTGACCGTGCTGCTGTGGTGGGAGCCCTTCGGCCGCCCGCGGCGCTTGCCCGACTGCCGGCGGCGCTACAACATCAGCGGCTGCCGCCTCAGCGCCGACCGCAGCCGGCTCGGCGAGGCGCAGGCGGTGCTGTTCCACCACCGCGACCTGGCGCGGCACGGCGCCGAGGGGCTGCCCCGAGGGGCCCCGCCGCGGCCCCCGCGCCAGCGCTGGGTGTGGATGAACTTCGAGTCGCCGTCGCACTCGCCCGGCCTGCGGGGGCTCGCCGGGCTCTTCAACTGGACCATGTCCTACCGCCGCGACTCCGACGTGTTCGTTCCCTATGGATATCTCTACGCCCCGCCGGCGCCCCGGCCCTTCGTCCTGCCCCGCAAGACGCGGCTGGTGGCCTGGGTCATCAGCAACTGGAACGAGGAGCACGCCCGGGTGCGCTACTACCGCCAGCTGAAGGAGCACCTGCCCATCGACGTGTACGGGGCGCGGGGGCTGGCGCTGGCCGAGGGCGGCCTGGTGGAGACCGTCTCAGCCTACAAGTTCTACCTGGCCTTCGAGAACTCCCAGCACACCGACTACATCACCGAAAAGCTCTGGAGAAACGCTTTCTCCGCCAGCGCCGTGCCCGTCGTCCTCGGACCTCGCAGGGCCAACTACGAGCGCTTCATCCCCCCCGATTCCTTCATCCACGTTGACGACTTCCCCAGCCCCCGGCTGCTGGCCACCTACCTGAAATTCCTCGATAAAAACAAACCCAACTACAGGCGGTACTTTGCCTGGAGGAAGAAGTACGAAGTCCACGTCACCTCGTTCTGGGATGAGCATTTCTGCAAGGTCTGCGAGGCTGTTCGGACAGCTGGGAATCAAATCAAGACTGTTCAAAATCTGGCCAGCTGGTTTGAAAGCTGATGTTCCTGGAAGATGAGGCGTGCTGGACAGCCTGGGCCAAGCGCCAAGGTGTCAGGCAGGATGGGTCTCACAGAGATCATTAGCCCAGGTAGTCGGCATTAGCCACAGGAGACTGGCATCACTTGGAGAAGCACACAGGTACAGGAAAACAAGCTGTGAAAAGCCTATAAAAGGAAGATTTTTATTAAAGAGAAAATTATGAAGGCGCAAAGAGACATTATGCCAGATGATTCCTAAAGAGCAAAGTTAAATTTCCAGAAGTTGCACAGTTACAGAACTTTTAAATTTCTGCACAGCTCAACATAAATATCCGATGCCAAATTCCTCAGCTGTACAGCTGAAACCAATTTTGGCGGCTATGTCAACTTCCTGGAGCATGAAACTTTCCTCTGCTCACAGAAGATACACGATCAGTGCTGGTTTTCTGTAATACTAAGACAAAAATGAATGTTTTAAACTGTTTTTTATGCGTGTGAAAGCTATTTACAAATTCTGAGCCGCAAGTGTTGAATGTAAGAATCTTATGATACAGTAGCACCTTTTAGCAGTGCTTGAAATTGCAGCAGCCAGTTAATAATGCTTTGAACCAAATAATTGTTCCATTTAGGAAAAAGTGTATGGAGGGGACTGAATCTGAGTGGACAAACAGCTCAGGTGATGTAAAGTATTCTGCTACCTGCTGAAACCATAGGCATGCTTATCCTGTATGAGAGTAGAGTAGAACTTTAAGTACAGGAAAACACAGACTGTAGGGAAGAAAGTCAGAACATTTCCACCCTTCCTTTTTTCAGGAATTAGAAAATGTTTACAGGTATCTGCATGTTTTTCTCTGCAAAATTATTGCCATGCAGGAAAATGCAGGCAAAGGCTCAGAATGGCAGGGGTTTTATTACTGTATTGACTATATATACTGAAAGGCAAACTTTTTTCTCAAGTATCAGTAGACAGTGCCATTGTGTAGCAACTCACTTGTTTTTTGGCTTGCATTTAAAAAAATTCTGCTGGGGAACAGACTAATCAGAATGTTGTTTTGTTGTTTTAAAAATAATAATTTCCAAAAAAAATCCCCAAACTCCCAAATCACTTCCATTCAGAAAGAAAATTACTTCAGAGAATAAGATCTACACTGTCAGTAAAATACAGATTATGTAAGGAAAGAATATAAAAAGGGAAGGATTTACTATTTTTTCTTCCTTTCATTTTGAGGTCATTTTGTGGCTCAGTTTTTTAATCAATAAATAGGTTCTTAAGGTAGAACTCCCTTGCTCGGTGCCTGTCAGGAATGCTTAAAGTAGTTATTCCCTTTCAGACTCCCACATTTTGCTGGAGCCATCCTAGTAGTGGATGTGTGGTTACTTTTTGGTTACATGTGATCTTGCTCAGCCAAAGCCAGAATGAAAATTCAGTTACAATTACACATCCTTGCCGAGCTCAGCCCCCCTGTCTTTTGCCGCTGTCAAGTTTGGTGGCAAAAAAAATGGCAACCTACAAGAGACTTGCCCATGTGAATAAGGTATTCATTCTGCTGCTTTTTAATCCATGGAGTTACTCAGAGACTTCACTCACAATAAAATCATGGGCACAGAACAGGTGGGAAAAGAAGAAAGTCAGTTGCAAATAAAAGATGGGCATCAGAACAGGCAGCCTCGCTGGCATTTGTGAGTCATATTTAGGTTAGGAAAGGATTAGATTTGATTTAAGCAGTATGGGATGCTGGATGAGTGCTTTTAAGATGGCAGTCTACTCTGATTTATTTCTAGTTAGATGTTCCCCATGATTATGTAAGCACAGAGCCAAGGATTATTGGGAAAAAACTAATAATAATGAAGTTCATTTATAATTTGCACAGTTTTACCAGTTCAGACCTTGCAGGCTTCTCCAATTATTCCCTTCTGCTTTTGTGCAAGGACGGTTGGCTAAAAGTACTTGATGAACTTTTTTGTTGTCAGTGCCAGAGTTGCTGTAGAATATTATTCTACGCATATTGCATGGGTAGAATATTTAGTGGGAAGGGAGTGAAAACAATGTATGCAATGTGGGATATAGTAGGGATGATTCCTAATGCTGCACTTTCACTCCAAGAGGTATAAAGTGATTGTTTAAAGTAAAAGAGTGTTCTTCATGGCATGGAAATCTGTTTCTCTATCAGTAGTTACTACTCCCATAATGCTGAGTTCGATATTTTTAAAACTCCAATATAGGTATAGTATTAAGAGTAATACCCAAGTGTCAGGATGAATGTATAGTATTTTTTTTTTCTGTTCAGTTTTTATCAGAGTTTGCAGAACTGTGTACAAAAACCCAATCTTAAAAATAATGGAATAGTATTTAAGATTGCACTACTTTTTATCAGTCTGCTGAAGCCAGTGCATTTTTTTTCAGCCCTCCTAATTTTTTTAGCATTTTGTGAAAATTTCCAGGCACACGGTTCTTCTGTGTAATCATTAGTAATGCCACATGCAGAAGATCAGGCTGCAGGAGCATGGGAATTTCCAGAGATTGCAAATGTTAATTTCCTTCTCAGCCTCTCTAAAAAAAAAGTTGAAATCTTTGAGAGAATTTTTTTGTAAAATTCAGAAAAAAGCTACAAAGCAATTAAAGTATCATTTGGGTAAAGTGGTCAGAATTGCACGGTATTTGTAAATTGTGCATTGAGGATTTTCAAGAACGGTATGGTGAAAACTGCAGATGTATAGCAATTATTGCAGAGCACTAGCATTGGAGAACAGAAGTCTTTTCTAATTTCATCATTCTTACATGGATGTTGCAAATTTGTGGCTTTCCATTTGGGAGGAAACTCAGCCCAGGCCTGTGGCTGCTGAAGTCAGTGTTACAGAATTTCTGTAGATCTCTGGTTTTTGGTCATCCACACCATGAGCTAATAGTGTACTGTTACAGGCAAAGGACGGGCTTTTGTAATGCACTTTGTAGAGCTCTAGTTCAATGATAAATATAGAGATTGACAGAACAAACTGGTTTGTACACTGGGTACCAGGGTATTGCAGATGATGTATACAATCCAGTTGTAAAAATTGGGGAAAGCTATTTTCTATTTTTCGTAGAAAAGTTTCCTTGAATACATTTTGGAGAAGTTTTTATTCCGTGCCTTAAAATATTGGGGTGGAGGGAGAGAAAGGAAGATCGTTGTCTTCTGGGTTTTATAAGAAGAAGAATTACCATTACATGTTGGTAGATGTAAATGGAATAGAGAATTATGTGATTCCCTCAAATTGCATATTGTATCTCAGGGAATTTTATACTGTAAGGTATCTTGATCTTCACAGAATGAAGAAACTTTATAATAATTATATATATTGACACGCAATAAAATTAAATTAAGTAGTGCAAAACTGCCCTATTTTTTATTCTGTTGTCTGTGTTATGAAGGCTGAAGAAAACTGCTTTTTAAAGAGAATGAATGTCTTTTCATGTTTGTTTAATAAATAAAAGTGGCTGATTGTTCTCAGAGTAGTCAGACCATCTGAGGTTAGGCATGAAACCTGGTTCTGCCAGGAGAAAAATATTTTCATAGGAGACGCTGTGCTGGAGTTATTTTCTCTATCAAAAGGTGCATTTATTGAAGTTGGGTGTTGGAAAAATGTCGTTTCAAACAAAATCAAAAAACAAACTTTCTCTTGACCTACAGAGAATTTGAAGGTGGTTGGATTCTTTTTGTCCCCCTTAAATTTCAAAATGAGACTATGTTTATTTTGGTATTCAGCATGTAGTGCTTTATCTTCCCTTTTAGCTACAGCTTTTTTTCACGGTTGTTCATGGTTGTTTTCAACGGAGCAACAAAAGACCAAGAGCCAAAAGCTGTTTTCCCTAAGTTTGTGTTAACACTGATTGCTGCACAAGTGATGGCTTACCTCTCTCTTCGCTCATCTTCTGTACAGGTTAGTGCACAGTATTGAGAAAGCATTTCTGAAAATTCCTGCCCAGCCTGGAAGGGGGCATGGCTACAGACCTTGCTTTTCCTTGTATCTTTATCACATTTAACTTTTCTAAGTAGAGCTTAAACTGACTGCTTGCTTAGTCCTGCCTGAGGGAGGAAACATTTTTTTAGCTCATTTTCCAGATGGCACTGAACACTGGGTTTGGGAAACTGGTTAAATATTTTTCTGACAAATATTAGGTACCATTTGTTCAAGCTTGTTTGGTGAGTGCTTGAGTGAGCGAGTTATGCCTGATTAAACTCACACAGCTCTCTATCCAACAGTCATATAAAATGGTGTTTGTTTTAAGAGAGTAAATAACCCTTTGTAGGGTGCACAGACCCGACTCAATCTAAAATCTGTTGATGAGAACAGAGTGACTTAATGTGGATTTAAGTGGTGTTTAACTAAAGATAACTCAGGATCCAAGTATAACAGCCTGTTTTTAATCAGTATAAAAAAAAAAAAAAAAAAGTCATTATGTGAGTAACTTGCCTGTAACCAGCTTGGTTTATGTAACCAGCTCACTTTAACAATTTGCATAATTATGTCTTTTCTTCTGTGTGGTTATTTAAAAAACAATACCCCAGGCCAGAATTTCTATGTCTTCTTTGCATTCTGAAGATTTTTTTTAATGGTCTTGAGCTAAATTCTTAAGCTTAATTTTCACATAATGGCAGATGTTCCTCAGAGTCTCACCCCAAAATTATCTGAGATAAAAAAGCTGAACCTGTTTTTCAGGAGTGCTTTGAGAGCTGCAGGGATTTCTCACTGCTGGCACTAAAGGTGCTCAATGTGTTCAGGAAGCATTGAGAAGTTATGACCCCCTTTTAATTGAAAAATTTTCTCTAAAGGAGTACATACTTTTTTGAATTCCTTCAATGATTTTAGGTCCTTATAATTGCATGGGTTTAATTTTTGCAATGGATATAAAACTGGACTTTATTTCAGGAATACTCAATATTTTACTAATATTCTGTTAATAACTATGAAAAATGGTCCCAAATTTGGAACTTGAATTTTTCTCTATTTACCAAAACATCTTTTGGAGTTAATCAACCCGTAGGTTGGCTGTATGCATTATGGAAGAAAATTCTGCATCTGCATCCTTGAATTTGCCATTGGTGCAAAAGACGCTGTAGATATTTTGGGTTGTGAGAAGCTCATAAAACAGGAAAACAGAGCATTAGGAATGCCCAAGCTGTGGCCTACTATGGCTCTGAGATCCTGATCACATGAGTGCTTATGACTGGAAATTGGCCATCTTGCTTTTAAGCAGAGGGGATAAACATGATTGCAAATAAAAAGCATAGATTATCAGATTGTGAATATATTTTGGTGCATTTGTAATGCTGCCAAATAACT